ATGGACATGGGTTTGGGTGGATTCCAGGAGTTGGTAATGGACAGGGAGGCCTGGCGTGCTGCGGTTCACGGGGTCGCAAAGTGGTGGACATGACTGAGCAACTGAACTGACTGACCAAGATATTTTCTATGATTCCTGCAGGATGTTTCTTTGGCATTTTGGTCTTTCCTTTTTGTAACACATTTTATTACTTGCTTTCATTCTGTCTTTCTAGGTAGAGTGTCAGGTGGCAGAAAGTGTGTCCACACCATTCCTCTGCATGTTAGCACTTATTTCTGGACTATGCTTGTCCCTTTTTAATTATTCTTTAATGAATATTTGATTCTCTATTATGCACTGGATTATCAAGGCCTTAATTTAACTAACATAGTCTCAAAGTCTCCCATGAGACTTTGAGTCTCTCTCAAAGTCTGCGATGATAATGAAATTCAGGTACTTGTGTTGGTATGGAAATATATCAGTTTCTAACTGGAAGGTCACTTTATCCAGCTTCCCATATATGATTTACTGTAATCAAAATTCCAGAATTATGTAAGATTATTCTTATCAAAAATGCAAAGTTAACAAAGCACAACAAAGAAGAGTAGGTGACCTTAGGCAGGGGTTTGGCAGGTTTGCAGTGGAGGCCTCCAACAAATTCAAAATTTGGCAGCACTGGGCGAGGAAATTCAAAATCCCAATAGGTTCGAATGAGCCACATATCAGCTTTCCCAATTGTCTCTAAAAATGTAGTGGGTCTTCCTTAAATGAAAAGCAAAAACAAAAATAACAACAAATATTAGATTAAATGAGAATATTGCCATGTGAATATATTAGGTAATATGGAGAAAGGAATTTGGAAAAATATTGAGAAAGATGTTTGAAAGTATATGTTCTTTGATAAAGCAAATATATACGTGTGTGTGTGTGTACATATAATATGATATGATATAATGAAATATGATCTGGAAACTTGTATGTGTACACTGAATAATATAATACATATTATGGAAAATGAGCTACACAAGTAGAAACAATTTCTAAATGCCACCTAGATACCTGTACTACAAATATGTTTGTAATTCCTTAATCTACTTGTCTTTATCTATCAAGCTATTTTATGAGATTTCCAGTGACATTTTTAAGTTAAAAGATGAAGTTTCATGAGTTACATATATAATTGCTTGCAGAAATCCTAAGTGTTTCAATTTGTGGTTTATGATTTCCTGGAGTATCCTGTACTAGTATTAGGCCACAAGGTTCTATGTTATATTATGATTTAAGTGTTTCCATAATATTTATGGGATTGATGTGTCATTTTATATGTTCATTCCCTCATTTCCTTTTAAGAGACAAAATACTGTGGGTTTCTGTTTATGTGGTCACCTTCCAAGGCACTTGGAAAATTAGGACTTTGTGGTAACAACTGAAAAGATGACTTACCTAGCACTTCACTGTAAAATTCATCCCATGCCTTCTCATCAAATGTCTGGAACCAGAAGTCAAAATAAAGTACATATATCATATTTTTTACCCTTTCCATGAATGTCATGTGATCACTTAATGCTGAAAATATAACAGGCACATAGGATGGTGGAAATGGAAGTTTTCCACTATACTTTTCAAACCAATAGCCAGGCGAAAAGCGGAGACTGTACACTAAAGGTATTCCAAGTATCTCAGTCAGCAGCTCACCACAGGGTCCAACAGCATCTGCAAGAAGGACATCAAACCTTGATTCCTGTAGCTTTGTCATAACTTTCTTGTTCAAAACAACTTCTTTACAGATCTTCATAAGCATTCCAGAAAATTCAAAAAGTAAGCTTCTCAATTCTCTAAATGATGAAACATTTGTCCAAAATGAATTTTTTGCCATATATGTCCATTTCTCAATTAAATTCTTGACAGCATTTTCAAAATCATCTTTAGTTAAAGATACAGGGAAAATCTCAAACTTAAAAGCAGATGGTTTGTTGGCATCAGTAATAGTGGAAGCTGAAGATATTAGAACAGTCACCTCATGACCCCTCATGACCAGTTCATCCAGAATCGCCTTCATATTCATCCAGTGACTAAATTCCACTGGCCACACCAGCACCTTTCCACAACTCCCAGAGCTAAAGTAGCAAGTCAGCTGAAGCAGCAGCAGAAGCGAGAGCCTTTTCATAGACATTTTGCTCATATGCAGTACTTAAAAAAGTACTCTATTCTTTTGGTATTGTTTATATGCTTATATCCAGGGAGAAATCAATCAGGAAGTTAAAATTTAACTCCTACATTTCAAATAAGTAAATTTTATGAGTAGTCAGCAGCCGTGGAAATCAATTGCAAGGGCAAAGTGTAGAACATTTCATGATAATAAAGTGTTAAATATTGCTTTTTCAGCATTATCACTGATCCAAAATTCAATGATCTTACACATGCAAGTAAACTATGTTATTAATATGTAAGAGAGAAGTGTATAGACTGCTGCAAAATCAATAGCATGTGAGTGGATCTTATGTCTGCAGGCTCCTTGATGCAGAAGTAGATAAGATGACATCCACAAGTTGGAAGGTTAGGAGTTCCAAACACCTGTATCCCCCCACAAAAACAATAAATGAACAAGCAGAAATCAATTTAAATTACTCTGGTTAAGTTCTGGACTACAACAAAGTAGGGCAGAAATCTCGCAGAATGCTATGTTTCCCATAGCAAAACATGGGAAAGCTTTTTAACTGGGTCACCAAAACTTCCAGTTTAGAGTAGCTTTATACCAGCAAGGATTTGCTCAAAGGGATTTCATCCCATGGGAAAAAGGGGAACAGCACTCTAGCAAAGCTCAGCATCATAGACATTTGCAGTCTTTGCTACTGAGGACTTACAGTCTTTACCGACACTGATTCTAGCTGACAGAGCTGCCCAGAGTCTTTGCTACTGTGTCCTCCTTCTATTTTGACAAGTTGCTGTGGGGAGTGGGGATACCTGCCCTTGGGGCCCTGTCACCTCCATCCCACCCTGCTTTCCTTGATTGTGACCACAGTGCCCTGACATGAATGGGATGAGAACTGCTGCTGCATGCTCTGCCCCCAGCTTCTACCTTAGTGCTTGGTCTTGCCATAACAAAAGCCATGCTGCTATTTTCTGAACCTGACTCTCTATTCCTAGTTGTAGCTCTGACTGGTTATTACTTAGGCTGAGCTGCTGCTCTTCTACAGCTTATTCCTGGGCCCTAAACCTCAGCATCACTTTAGCATTGTTGGGCCACAGTGCTCCTTCATTGACCTCACAGTGTGTGCTAAGTCAGGGCTTTGACGCACCACGACTGGGAACACACCACTGCCGCTCTACAGTCCACCTCACGGGTCCTGACGTGGGGCTTAAACAGGCCATCACTGGGACCATGATGCTGCTTCTCTGTGACTTCTCCTGAGGCCAGAGTTGGAAATTTGACTCATCATTCCAAGGCTGCACTGCTGTGTGTGACCCTGCACTCCTGGGCCTAAGCTACTGCGGGATTCTGTCACATCAGGGCTTGCACCACTGCTGCCTCACCCTACTCCCCATGTTGCTGAAGCAGACAACAAACATAGACCCCAGTTTCATGGCAGCATTATATCTGCTTGTCCCTTCGAGACTGGTCCTTCTGCCCCAGCCAGTACGGTGTTACCTCAGGGCCAAAGCGATATAACTGTCCCATGTGAGCCTGACCTAAGGTCTTTGGCTCCACTTCCTTTCTGAGCGTCAGTATTTATCTCCTCAGTTACAGCTAACTTCCGTCGGCCAAAGGGCACAGTGGGACCTCAGAAGCCTTTATTACCAAGTACCTCAGTGGCCCCAGCCAACACTGCCACGACCTGTGTGAACTCTCTAGCTTTGCTCACAGAAGACCCATGCAGTCTTCACAGATGTTGATCTATGCTGATGGAGATGCAGGGAAATTATGCAGTTATGCACTCCCAAGAACAAAGATATTACATTCCACTCACCGAGCACCCTCACAGCCAACTTGAGGTGAAAATCTTTCCCCAACAAAGTGAGTTCAAAAAGGCTGGAGGAGGTGATAGTTACCTCTAATACAGAGACATCATCAGAAACAATCAGAAAAGTGAAAAAAACAATGAAAATTAACATCACCAAAGGAATAAATGATTTGCCAGTAATAGACCCCAAAGAAATGGGAATCTACAAGCTATGAGAAAATAATTCAAAGCAATTGTTTTAAGGAAGATATGTGACCTTTTATAGGACATAGACAATTCAATGAAATCAGGAGAAACAATGCATGAGCAAATAAAAAGTTTAAAAATGAGAAAGAATTTATAAAAGCAAACAAACAGAAATTATTGAGCTGAAGAGTACAGTGAATTTAAGAATGCAATTGCTATCTCTAACTTTAACCCTTAAATTATTGCAGTAAATTAAAGTCCAATGGGGAGCTTCAACAGTAGAGTCACCAAGAATTAATAGAAGGAAGAATACTCAAATTTGGGGACAGATGTCTTGATATTATCCAGAGATGGGGAAAAAAGTAAGTACAATGAAAAAGAATAAAGTAAACCTGTGTGAATTGTGGGACACTATCAAGGAAAGAGTGTTCATATTGTAGGAATCCCAGAAGGAGAAGAGGGAGAAGAGCAGAGAGAAAATTAATTGAAATAGTTAATGGATGAAATTTCCCAAATCTGTGGAAAGCTGTGGACATCTAAGTACATGAAGTCAAAATATCCCCAAACAGATTCAATCCAAAGAGCTCTTCATTGAAAAGCATTACAATTAGGCACTCAGAATCCAGAAAATATAGAATTTGGGAAGCATCAAGAAAAAAAAAAGAATCATCATATACAAGGGAATACTGATGAAATCATCAGTAGATTTCTCTGTAGACCCTTTTACGCCAGAAGGAAGTGTGTATTGTAGTCAAAGTACTCAAAGAGATATCGTCAACCAAGAATCCCTTGTTCAGCAAGTCACCCTTCAGAAATGACAGATAAAGACTTCACCAGACAAACAAAAGCTGAAGGAATTCATTGCCATTAGACCTGCCTTAGAAGAAATGCTAAATGAGGTTTTTCAAGCTGAAACAAAAAGACATTAATTAGTACCATGAAAACATATGACAACATAAAACTTACTGGTAAAGATAAACATATACTGCAACATAGAATGCTCCAATACTGCAATGATAGATTCTACCATATATATTAAAAACAAAAATGTATTAAAAGTATCAGTATATATAATATTTTATTAATGAATGCACAGTACAAAAATATTTTAAATGAGACATTAATAACATAAAATGTGGGGGGTCCAGTTAATATGTAGAATATTTTCATGGAATAGATGTTAAGATTTTAGTTTAAATTAGAATGTTTTACTGTATGACATATTATGAAAGTTTCTTGGTAATAACAAAGCAGAAATGTAGTAACTACACAAGTCATAAAAGAATAAAAGCACACTACTCCCAAAACATCAATTTACAAAGTAAAACAGCAAGAGAGAAAGAAAAGAAATTACAAAAGAATCTGAAACCAATTCACAAAATGATGACATATGTTAATAAATATTTTAATGTAAGTAGACTAAATCATGCAATCAAAAGATATTGAGTGGTTGAATAGCTCAAAAGAAAAAGAAAAATCAAGATCTGACTATGTGCTGCTTATAAGAGACTCACTTAAGTTTTAAGGATACTCATAGACTAAAAATGAAATTATGATTAAAGATAATCCTTGCAAAGGGAAAGGGAAACCAAAAGAAAGTGGGGTAACTTGTATCAGACTAAATAGGCTTTAAATCAAGAGCTCTAACATGAGACAAAGAAGGTCATTATGCAATGGTAAAAGGGTCAATTTTATGAAATGTGTAACTACTGTTAATATATGCACCCAGTATAGAAGTACCTGAATATAGTAAAAAAGTCACAGATCTAAAGGGAAAAATAGTGATGCAATAATAATAAGAGACTTCAATATCCCACTTTCAACAACAGAGAAATCATCCAGGCAGAGAATCAATAAGAAAATAATGGAAATTATGAATGATGTGAAACTAGAAATAAAAAAAAAAATTAGAATGTTTTACTGTATGACATATTATGAAAGTTTCTTGGTAATAACAAAGCAGAAATGTAGTAACTACACAAGTCATAAAAGAATAAAAGCACACTACTCCCAAAACATCAATTTACAAAGTAAAACAGCAAGAGAGAAAGAAAAGAAATTACAAAAGAATCTGAAACCAATTCACAAAATGATGACATATGTTAATAAATATTTTAATGTAAGTAGACTAAATCATGCAATCAAAAGATATTGAGTGGTTGAATAGCTCAAAAGAAAAAGAAAAATCAAGATCTGACTATGTGCTGCTTATAAGAGACTCAAGTTTTAAGGATACTCATAGACTAAAAATGAAATTATGAATAAAGATAATCCTTGCAAAGGGAAAGGGAAACCAAAAGAAAGTGGGGTAACTTGTATCAGACTAAATAGGCTTTAAGTCAAGAGCTCTAACGTGAGACAAAGAAGGTCATTATGTAATGGTAAAAGGGTCAATTTTATGAAATGTGTAACTACTGTTAATATATGCACCCAGTATAGAAGCACCTGAATATAGTAAAAAAGTCACAGATCTAAAGGGAAAAATAGTGATGCAATAATAATAAGAGACTTCAATATCCCACTTTCAACAACAGAGAAATCATCCAGGCAGAGAATCAATAAGAAAATAATGGAAATTATGAATGATGTGAAACTAGAAATAAAAAAAGATGAAAAACTGAAAAATGCAAGTGTAAATTAAACAATGCCCCCTTGAACAATGAATGTGTCAAACAAGAAATCAAAAGGGAAATAAATAATAAGAAATATCTTGAAACAAATGAAAATGGAAACAAAAAATGCCAAAATGTATGAGATACAGCAAGCAGTAATATGATACAAGTTTATGGTAATAAATGCACATAGTAAGAAAAAAATCTCAAATAGCCTAACCTGAAATATGAGGAGTTATAAAAAAGAGAATATGTTAGTATAAGGAAGAAAATATTTAATATCAGAGTAAAATAAATGAAATAGAAATCAGAAAAACAAATACAAAACCAAGGAAACTATTGGTGACATTTCTAAGAAATCAAAGTTGTACATTTTTTTTATGTTTTGCATTCTCTTGTGTGTGTGTATGTGTGTTAGTCACTCAGTCATGATTGACTCTTTG